GGAGCGTGGCATAGGCCAGCTTAAGAGGCGCTTTCATGTTCTCCACGGAGAGGTGCGGCTGAGGCCTGAAAAAGTCAGCAAAGTCATCATAGCCTGTGCAATATTACACAATATTTGCAAGGTTAGACAGATTGCAGAACCTCTGGAGGATGGCGATGAGGATGGAGACAACGATGAGGATGGTGGTGAAGAAGATATTCACATTCCACAGGGGAACCGAGCCCAGAGTGGACTGCCTTACAGGGCAAACTTCACAAATTTACATTTCAGGCAAGCTGTAGCCCCATGTCATTTGAGAACTTGTGATGGTATTAAGAACTACCACAGTTTTACTGCACATCACCTGCAACTGTTAAATGCAAGACACAGAACACAATCTCTAAATGGTTTATTTTTTAGGTGTTCAATTTTAAGGCGGTAGTACTCCTCCTGAAGGGAAAGGACTTTTTTGTTGTTGTTCAAACACATCAATTGTGAGTTGCAATCTTCTCTCCTGCAGGGATGCTGACGGAGCAGGTGCTGCGGATGGGAATGGTGTTTGATCCGCCGGGCTATCCTGAGTAGCAGCTGCAGATGGTTCAGGCGGCAAACTTGATGGGCCCGGTTCTTGTGATGGCTCGATGCTACAGAAATACATAGGCCTAGTTTAATTATTGTTTTGATTAAATTAATTTAATACAATGAGCATGGATAACACATGAAATGGCTTCTGCAATGAATAAACACTGTTGATATGAATAACCCTGTGTCCTACCTTTGCTGCATTTCAAGGGCCTGCATCATTGACGTGTCAATGCCTGTTGGCAGCCCGGTGACACTGACCTCAGAGTGTCCCAGGACTTGAAAGACAGTGTCGGCCACCTGGGACAGCCGCTTTGCAGGTGGTCCACCCCCTAGAAAGAAACAGTCAATGAACACAGTACTTAGGCATGTAAATTAACTTTGCCAGCAGGAGCAAATTGCCAGATTATGTGGTAGGCCATAGTATTTTGCTCACCTGTGAGTGAGGATTCCCGCTTGTGTGCTGCAATCTCATCTTTTGCCTTGGACTGCAGCACATACCACCTTTTCTCACAATCGTCGCCTGTCCGCACCACCAGTGGAAAAGAGGCATTGATTGTTTGGGATATTGTGTCCCAGGCGCGCCTCTTGCCTTGGCTAGTGACAGTTGGGCCAAATTTTCCTCGTAACATACCTTTATGTTCGTTCACCAACTGGGCCAGCAACAAACCTTGCTCCTCAGTCCAGTTCGGCTTGCGATTCCTTTTTTCTCTCCATTTTCTGTGTTTGTAGGATATTTGTTAACAAGCCTTCATAAATAGACCAGCCAGCAATCACAGACATTGTTAAAAGCTGAGCTATGTTACCCTCGTTAAGTTCACACTGAGTTGTAACGTTGCAATTTCTACTTCATTAAGGACAGCCCCTTGAGATAGGCCATCTTGTTTTCAATGGGGTCCATATGGAAGTGAAAGTACAAAATATGCCAGCTAGGATATTAATATGAGCAAATGAGACACAAATCATTATTTGAACAGGGTGTAATGAGCTTAAGTTTTCACATATTTTAGATTCTAATGTTAGGCTATAACCCCTACAGCTTACTATTCATTTTCCAGATATTTTCTTGAATGTGAAATATTATTTACAATTATAGTCTGCATAAGATTAGAGTGTATAATTATGTTTATTGATTTGAGGGTACATCCTTTGCTCATTATCACCAAAAGTTCATTTTCATCAAACTTGTAGGATCAACCAATCACGGCTTTTGAAATGATGACTCATACCTAGCAACGGGGTCAACCACACCTCCTCACTAAGATAGGATTTTTCATCCATTCCTGGCTCAGAGTTCACTGAAAATGTTCTGGAATCACTTCTAAGCTAAAACTCCTGGCAAGGAATTTTTAGGTTAAGTTAGGAGCTCTCTGAGAGGATTCTCAGAATCTTTAAGGATACGGGCCCTGCTGTTTGATCTGACAATTAATCTTGATGATTGAACAGTCGTCTCAAATAAAACTGTGAAGGACCTCGTCATTACTCTGGACCCGGATCTCTTTTTACGAGCAAGCACATAAAAAAGATTTCAAGGGCAGCTTTTTTCCATCTTTGTAATCACAAACTCTTTGTCCAGAAATTATGCAGAAAAACTCATCCATGCTTTTGTCACTTCTAGATTAGACTACTGCAATGCTCTACTCTCCAGCTACCCGTATAAAGCATTAAATAAACTTCAGTTAGTGCTAAATATGGCTGCTAGAATCTTGACTAGAACCAAAACATAAGATCATATTCCTCATATTACAGTGCTAGCCTCTCTACACTACCGGTCAAAAGTTTTAGAACACCTACTCATTCAAAGGTTTTTCTTAATTTTTACTATTTTCTACATTGTAGAATAATAGTAAATACATCAAAACTATGAAATAACACATATGGAATCATGTAGTAACCAAAAAAGTGTTAAACAAATCAAAATATATTTTGTATTTGAGATTCTACAAATAGCCACCCTTTTCCTTGATGACAGCTTTGCACACTCTTGGCATTCTCTCAACCAGCTTCATGAGGTAGTCACCTGGAATGCATTTCAATGAACAGGTGTGCCTTCTCAAAAGTTAATTTGTGGAGTTTCTTTCCTTCTTAATGCTTTTGAGCCAATCAGTTGTGTTGTGACAAGGTAGTGGGGGTTTACATAAGATAGCCCTATTTGGTAAAAGACCAAGTGCATATTATGGCAAGAACAGCTCAAATAAGCAAAGAGAAATGACAGTCCATCATTACTTTAAAACATGAAGATCAGTCAATACGGAACATTTCAAGAACTTTGAACGTTTCTTCAAGTGCAGTCGCAAAAACCATCAAGCGCTATGATGAAACTGGCTCTCATGAAGACTGCCACAGGAATGGAAGACCCAGAGTTACCTCTGCTGCAGAGAAGAAGATCATTAGAGTTACCAGCCTCAGAAATTGTAGCCCAAATAAATGCTTCACAGAGTTCAAGTAACAGACACATCTCAACATCAACTGTTCAGAGGAGACTGTGTGAATCAGGCCTTCATGGTCGAATTGCTGCAAAGAAACCACTACTAAAGGACACCAATAAGAAGAAGAGACTTGCTTGGGCCAAGAAACACGAGCAATGGACATTAGACTGGTGGAAATTTGTCCTTTGGTCTGGAGTCCAAATTTGAGAATTTTGGTTCCAACCACTGTGTCTTTGTGAGACGCGGTGTGGGTAAACGGATTATCTCTGTATGTGTATTTCCCACCATAAAGCATGGAGGAGGAGGTGTTATGGTGTGGGGGTGCTTTGCTGGTGACACTGTCTGTGATTTATTTAGAATTCAAGGCACACTTAACCAGCATGGCTACCACAGCATTCTGCAGCAATACGCCATCCCATCTGGTTTGGGCTTAGTGGGACTATCATTTGTTTTTCAACAGGACAATGACCCAACACACCACCAGGCTGTGTAAGGGCTATTTTACCGTGAAGGAGAGTGATGGAGTGCTGCATCAGATGACCTGGCCTCCACAATCCCTCGACCTCAACCATATTGAGATGGTTTGGAATAAGTTGGACCGCAGAGTGAAGGAAAAGCAGCCAACAAGTGCTCAGCATATGTGGGAACTCCTTCAAGACTGTTGGAAAAGCATTTCAGGTGAAGCTGGTTGAGAGAATGCCAAGAGTGTGCAAAACTGTCATCAAGGCAACACTTTTTAGGTTACTACATGATTCCATATGTGTTATTTCATAGTTTTGATGTCTTCACTATTATTCTACAATGCAGAAAGTAGTACAAATAAAATAAAAAACTTGAATGAGTATGTGTTCTAAAACCTTTGACCAGTAGTGTACACTGGCTTCCTGTTAAGGCTAGGACTGATTTCAAGATTTGACTGCTAACCTAAAAAGCATCACATGGACTTGCTCCTACTTATCTCTCCGATTTGGTCCTGCTGTACATACCTACACGTATGCTACGGTCACAAGACGCAAGCCTCCTTATTGTTCCTAGAATTTCTAAGCAAACAGCTGGAGGCAGGGCTTTCTCCTATAGAGCTACATTTTTATGGAATAGTCTGCCTATCCATGTGAGAGAGACAGACACTGTCTCGACCTTTAAGTCTTTACTGAAGACTCATCTCTTCAGTAGGTCCTATGTTTGAGTGTAGTCTGACCCATGGGTGCGAAGGTGAAAGGCAAGGCACTGGAGTAACAAACTTCCCTTGATGTCTCTGTCTGGGGGCTGAGTCACTGGCTTACTAGTGCTCTTCCATGCCGTCCCAAGGAGGTTTGTTTCCAGTCGTGCCAGGCTTTTTTTGCTATATTCGACCTGAGTGGGTTGAGTAACTGAGGTGATCCTCCTGTCCGATTTTGCATAATATTTGCATAATATTTTATTTATTTATTCATTTTGAATTCACGCTGTAACGCAACAAAATGTGGAATAAGTCAAGGGGTATGAATAGTTTTTGAAGGCACTGTAGGCCTAATAATACATAATAATACATAATTGAGTTACTTTCCTAGTCAAAAAGCTTGGCTGAGGCAGCAGCATCACGTGGTGGCTTCTCAACTTCCTCTATTCTCCCCCATTTCAATCTCATCCTCGTCTAGGTAGCACGTAAAACAGGGAACCATGACTGGAAGTGAATTGTGTAGTTATCAATCGGCTTTTCACTCTAACTTTTGAGAAAACATGTAACATATTTATGAATAGATAAACTATCTCCACTTTGCTCAAATGTATTTGTGTCTGCCTATTCGACACACGATGGCGGCATTTAGCCACTGCCCTGTGCCATTATGAAATTAGGGGAGAGAAGTAGAGGAAGGGATAAGAAGGAAAGGGGGGAGTAAATTAGAAACTAAACGGGGTGGTGGTATAAGTGAAGGCTTTATTTATATTGTCCTGAAATAAAGTTATTAATGTCAGTGCAGTGCCATGTTTGGTTGCCCCCACTCGGGCCACCAGAGCAACCCACCCCCTCCTCAACATAGTGTCCCGAGTATCGAACGAACTTCCCAAATGTAACCCCTCCTTGGCGTAGGAAGGAGTCACTGCCAAAGTTTTTTTTTTTTTACGGAGAAAGGGAACTGTTGATGAAGGCGAATCCAGGCAGTCCCTCGAGATGGTACTTATGACCGAACAACCGGACAGAGACCTTACTCCGTTATCTACACCAGAACAAGTTGTAAAGTCTGCCAAACCGGTCAGAAAAGATTCGACGGGGATCCAATCGACGTAAGTTTGGATGTTTTCAGTCCAGCGCAGCACAAAGCCGGGGGCCTAGTTAGCTCGCAAGTTAGCCAACTTTGCTAGCTATCTAACTAGCTAACCACTTTTGTTATTGATGCATAGCTAGCTAGCTAACATTAGCTAGTTAAGTCCTTGCTTTTCCGACCTCTGTCGATAAACTTAACGTTTAATTTGGAAGCAACCTCACACGAAGTTTTGATAGGTTGTGTATTTTTTATGCAGTTATTTCTATAACGCTAACGTTAGCTAGCAAGCGAACAGTGTTTTCAACTTTAAAGACATGGAATTGAAGAACTGAAGTTGACCTCGTCCCAATGGATTTTCCTCTTGTTGTCACTGTTTGTCTACCTAGCTACAGTTGAAGTTGGAAGTTTACATACACTTAGGTTGGAGTCATTAAAACTCGTTTTTCAACCACTCCACACATTTCTTGTTAACAAACTATAGTTTTGGCAAGTCGGTTAGGACATCTACTTTGTGCATGACACAAGTAGTTTTTCCAACAATTGTTTACAGACAGATTATTTCGCTTATAATTCACTGTATCACAATTCCAGTGGGTCAGAAGTTTACATACACTAAGTTGACTGTGCCTTTAAACGCTTGGAAAATTCCATAAAATGATGTCATGGCTTTAGAAGCTTCTGATAGGCTAATTGATATCATTTGAGTCAATTGGAGGTGTACCTGTGGATGTGTTTCAAGACCTACCTTCAAACTCAGTGCCTCTTTGCTTGACATCATGAAAATAAATCAGCCAAGAACTCAGAAAAATAATTCTAGACCACCACAAGTCTGGTTCATCATTGGCAGCAATTTACAAACGCCTGAAGGTACCACGTTCATCTGTACAAACAATAGTACGCTAGTATAAACACCATGGGACCACGCAGCCGTCATACCGCTCAGGAAGGAGACGCGTTCTGTCTCCTAGAGATGAACGTACTTTGGTGCAAAAAGGGCAAATCAATCCCAGAACAACAGCAAAGGACATTATCCTATATCAACATAACCTGAACGGCCGCTCAGCAAGGAAGAAGCCACTGCTCCAAAACCGCCATAAAAAAGCCAGACAACGGTTTGCAACTGCACATGGGGACAAAGATCTTACTTTTTGGAGAAATGTCCTCTGGTCTGATGAAACAAAAATAGAACTGTTTGGCCATAATGACCATCGTTATGTTTGGAGGAAAAAGGGGGTTGCTTGCAAGCCGAAGAACACCATCCCAACCCTGAAGCACAGGGGTGGCAGCATCATGCTGTGGGGGTGCTTTGCTGCAGGAGGGACTGGTGCACTTCACAAAATAGATGGCATCATGAGGAAGGAAAATTATGTGGATATATTGAAGCAACATCTCAAGACATCAGTCAGGAAGTTAAAGCTTGGTTGCAAATGGGTCTTCCAAATGGACAATGACCCCAAGCGTACTTGCAAAATGGCTTAAGGACAACAAAGTCAAGGTATTGGAGTGGCCATCACAAAGCCCTGACCTCAATCCTATAGAACATTTGTGGGCAGAACTGAAAAAGTGTGTGCGAGCAAGGAGGCCTACAAACCTGACTCAGTTACACCAGCTCTGTCAGGAGGAATGGGCCAAAATTCACCCAACTTATTGTGGGAAGCTTGTGGAAGGCTACCCAAAACGTTTGACCCAAGTTAAACAATTTAAAGGCAATGCTACCAAATACTAATTGAGCGTATGTAAACTTCTGACCCACTGGGAATGTGATGAAATAAATAAATGCTGAAATAAATCATTTTCTCTACTATTATTCAGACATTTCACATTCTTAAAATAAATAGGTGATCCTAACTGACCTAAGACAGGGAATTTTTACTAGGATTAAATGTCCGGAATTGTGAAACTGAGTTTAAATGTATTTGGCTAAGGTGTATGTAAACTTCCGACTTCAACTGTAGATAAAATTTTTGCAAATGCACAATCAAGGTTATTTGTCGTCATTCTGATGGGATAGCGTTATTGTTAACATTTGACGTGTGGCACTGTTTGGTCTTAAAACGTATTGTATAAATACGAGAATTTCATGTTAATTTCTCTACCATAAGCCCCTTCCAACGTCGTTTTAGAGAATTTGGCAGTACGTCCAACCGGGCTCACAACCGCAGACTACATGTAACCACGCCAATACAGGACCTCCACATCCGGCTTCTTCACCTGCGGGATCATCTGAGACCAGCCACCCGGACAGCTGATGAAACTGTGGGTTTGCACAACCAAATAATTTCTGCACAAACTGTCAGAAACTGTCTCAGGGAAGCTCATCTGCATGCTTGTTGTCCTCATCAGCGTCTTGACCGGACTGCAGTTCAGCGTTGTAACTGACTTTAGTGGGCAAATGCTCACCTTTGATGTCTACTGGCACGCTGGAGAAGTGCGCTCTTCACAGATGAATCCTGGTTTCAACTGTACAGAGAAAATGGCAGACAGTGTGTATGGCGTCGTGTGTGCGAGCGGTTTGCTGATGTCAACATTGAGAACAGAGTGCCCCATGGTGGTGGGGTTATGGTATGGGCAGGCATAAGCTACGGACAACAAACACAATAGCGTTTTATCGATGGCAATTTGAATGCACAGAGATACCGTGACGAGATCCTGAGGCCCATTATCGTGCCATTCATCCGCCATCATCACCTCATGTTTCAGCATGAAATGCACAGCCCCATGTCGCAAGGATCTGTACACAATTCCTGGAAGCTGAAAATGTCCCAGTTCTTCCATGGCCTGCATACTCACCAGACATGTCACCCATTGAGCATGTTTGGGATGCTCTGGATCGATGTGTACGACAGCGTGTTCCAGTTCCCGCCAATATCCAGCAACTTCGCATACAGCCATTGAAGAGGAGTGGGACAACAGGCCATATGCCGCAACCAACAGCCTGATTAACTCTATGCGAAGGAGATTTGATGCGCTGCATGAGGCAAATGGTGGTCACACCAGATACTGACTGGTTTTCTGATCCATGCCCCTACCTTTTTAAAAAGATATCTGTGACCAACAGATGCATATCTGTATTTCCAGACATGTGAAATCCATAGATTAGGGTCTAATTAATTGATTTAAATTGACTGATTTCCTTATATGAACCGTAACTCAGTCAAGTCTTTAATTGTTGCATTTTATATTTTCGTTCAGTGTAGCTTGCTAGCTAAGGTTGACAGCAGTGATAATGGTTGAATGCGTTTTAATGTATGGTTTTCAAAGGTTAATAAAGATTGTATGACTTCATTAACTAAAATTTACTGCGATTTCCAAAAACTACAGGCTACATTGGTAAATGTGCAATATCAATGGTCAGCCAGATTTGATCCTCTTTTTGAAAGAGTTTGAATGGGGATTTTGTTAAATGATTTCCCCATGATAAGTAGCTAGTTGAATCAATGTCCATGTTCATAAAGAAGGAAAATCTATTATACTTCTACTGACTGTGTTGTCCAACATCAAAAGGTGCCAGGTCTCTGTATTACTTCTGCCCTGCTGTTTTCAACCCCATAATTTGAGGCTAAACGTTTTAATAATATATCTCTACAGGTATGAAGGGAGAAACAACCCGAGTTTAGCTTGCTACTATATATCATGTTTGACTGTCACAATACTATGTCCAGGTCTGAGGCAGCAAATGGAGGAGAGGACAGGCCCAGGAGGAGTGCCAGTGGGAGGTCTGCTGGGGACACTCAGGTGTCAGTGGACACTGAGTCAGACCTCTCAGAGATCAGGAAGAAACCGGCCCTCATGAAGTGAGACTTCTAGATACCATACATCATGTATTATGTGTAATGATGTGAATGTGGTAAAATGGTCAACTGTCTGCTCTAGCACACAGGGTGCACATTTTTGTTTTAGCCCAGCACTGACATATTTGATTAAACTAATCTCCAAGCCCCTTCTTAGTTTAGTGTCCGTAGATTAGTTGACCAAGTGAGTTAGTGCTGGTCTAGAACAAAAATGTGCCCCACCTGTGGATCCCCGTAGGGATGGAGAAACAATGCTTTAGCCAATGTTGTGATACCATACATGTGTGAGGTTTTGAAACTTGGAAATATAGATTACCAACTATCGGTAATGCTTGATCACAATCGATGGTGCTAGAACACAGTTTTATGTTATTGATTAATACATCCGACTGCACTGTCTGGGGCTGTTATGTGATCCACACCTGGGTCGAATTCATTATGCACAAATCAGGAGAAACTGTTTTGAAACGGGAGGTTCTACTTGCGCTTGACTAAGAAGAGCTAATTCGTTTTCCATTTCAAAACATTTTGGCCTGTTTTGTGACCTGCAGAAGCTTGGCCCAGTAGTGTGTTGACGAACCTTGATGTTGCTATATAAACAACACACTTTACATAACCATGCTGCAAGGGATGTGGCTGTCTGTCCCCATGGGAGTTGCTCGTCCTTTTGTCTGCTGTAGACCTAGGGGAACAATATTTAACTTCAATGGGAGTCAAAGTGGATGTGTCATTGACAGTAAGAACTTAGCCAAGTCAACTTGTTTTGGACTATTCTATTGAAGTTGTCTGTCTACATGATTGTTTTTGTACCAAGCACTTGCTATATGGGTTGCTACTGTGCTTATGTGTGTAAATCTTGTCCCCTTTTTCAGATTTAAAGCTGTGGAGCTGCCTTCCCCAATGCAAACTCCAAGTGACGGTGAAACTAAGTTTGAAGGAAGAAAGAAATCCCAGTCCAGCCAGGTGTGTTTATACTGTATATCGGGCCACCCACACAATCACATTTTCCATTGGTCTCCACAATGTGTGTATGTTTGTTTAGAATTAGCATAATGGCTTAGCAGCCGACTTGCAAAACTAGAATTGTGTTTCACATTTTCCATTGGTCTCCACAATGTGTGTTTTCAAACCTTTCCCAGGCGAGCCATTGACATCTGAGCTCACACTTGTATTTTGTGAGTAAAGGTATCTTGACCAAGTTAAAGGTGCAATATGCAGAACTCACGCTGCCATTTCCTGGTTGCAAAAATTATAACGGTTTCTCTAATTTCAGTTTATGTGACAAAACAAGCAGCCATTGTGTAGAGAATCATTGTACCATCTAAACCGCTGTGAAATATATTTTCCATATCCAAAAATACTGCATTTTCAGCTGTGAAGCTGGGGTACAAAACGGAAAGTAAAAGATCCAAAAACTAAACTTAAAAAAATAGGAAGCATAGAAAGTGTGCACATAGAACATATCTACCGCTTCTTAGCCTTGCTTTCAATGAGTGACAGATCTGTAACTTACATTTCTATGTGAATTTGGTCAGGTCGCCCAAAAAGTTACATTGTAGCTTTAAGTCTACACAACCCTAATGATTTTCGAATGGATGCACATATTTGACATTACCTAGTTGCACATGCACCTCAATATCAATGGGTTTGTTCATTTGGAAAGGGAGGTAAAGAAAGTCATACATTTAAAAATGTCACATTTGTCAACATTTGGATGTATTGTCTTCTCTTGCAGATATCCAAGTCAAATGCCCAGTACCATAAAATATTCAAAGAAATCAGCAAGGATGAGTTACTGAAACAAAGTAGGTGGGGTAGTCTTCAATGAAATGAATATTACAAATCCATAGGGTGACTATTTCCCCAGTTTCCTCTTGTTTATATATATATATATTACAAAAAAAAAACATAAGACTTGCATTCTTGTCATTTGTGCAGAATAGATTTTGCCTGACATCCTCTGATATGTCTCTTCTCAGGTTATACCTGTGCACTGCAGAAAGACATGCTGTATCAGGGCAAAATGTTTGTCTCTGATAACTGGATATGTTTCCACTCCAAAGTCTTTGGCAGAGATACTAAGGTACAGTATAACAATGGAATACTATACAGTCATTACTCCTTCAGATAAATGCAGTTTTTCAGTCTCAATTGAATAAAAATAGTTGTTCCTGATAACTGCAAGCCCCAGTTTAGTGCACACATTATCATTACAATTCTGAGCCGTTGCATTTATCAGGAGTTGACTTTACTACTATTGAACTGAAAGTTGTAGCCCAGGAGGTGTGTTTCACTGACTCGGTGTCAACAGATTTGCTATAAAGGTTTTAAATAATACTTTTTATTGACTTTCTCTCCTTGCTGGTATTTTGCCTGGTCTCTATGAAGAGGTTCAAACAAGACATTCACTGAAATATAGTTGACATAAAATAATGTTTGCTTTCACTTTCCCTTCTTTCCCAGATTGCTATTCCCGTACTCTCTGTGACTCTTATCAAGAAGACAAAAACTGCCATCTTGGTGCCAAATGCACTCGTTATCACAACCACAAACAAGCGGGTAAGACCAGTTTTAATTTGTAGATATTCAATCGTCAGGTTTGGTCTTAATTAATAACACTTAATAATAATATTATTATTGTCATTATAATTCATTATTTGAAATATGTTTTCCAGCATGTATTTGCATCATTCCTATCCCGAGATACAACCTATAAACTTCTGAAATCCATCTGCGTTCATCTGGATGTAAGTTCATCCTCCTTGTCCTCTTTTCTTTAATGCATTGTTGTGACATTTTAAATAGTCTTATTTAGTGCTGTATTACAGACAACATTAGCACTGAGGTTAAACATGTTCTTTCTGTTATCATAATACTGTATTATACTGCAACAGGGACTTTTCAATAGGGCTGTGACTATACCAGTATCAAAGGATTTTCTTTCATGCCAAAAATGAAAACACGAAGCAGACCAAACTCGTTGGTCCTTTAAAAACCTGCTGTATGTAAAATATTGTGTGCTATAGCATGGAAAAAATAAATGTGACTGGATGATGTTTGTTTCCAACATTAGGGCTGTTTTCCTAGAGAAGTTAAATACGCTTTGTGTTTTGTTTCTTTGCCACGATACTGATGAGTATTGCGATACTGGTATCGTACCGGCCCTACTTTTCAAGTCTAACTCATTGAACACCATTGTAGGGGGACAATACAGGGAACAGCCTCATTACTTCCTCTGCTGAGAACAGCTTCATAGCTGATTGTCCCTCGTCACTTCCTCTGGTCAGTACTGAGACTGTTGCCTTTCTCCTTTCTCCCAACTCTTCTTCTTAATGACCATACAGCAAAGGGTGTGTGTGTTGTAATGGTTCTACTGTACCCTCTGTGTCTGGACAAAGTTTCATTTCTATTCAATAATGTTTTTATTTCAATGGGATCATCTGTATGGACAAAATGAACGTAAATATTCTGTGTATAGGATTTATCTGGAGACTTCTCAGACCTGGATGGGGTTGTGTGCCAGAGGAGGCAAGCCATGCTGGAGACCAGCAGCTCAGGCTCCCAGACCCCAGACTATGAGAAAATGACGGGTGGGTTCTCTCTTTATGATGGCAGGGGTGTCCAACCCTCCCCCTTGTGAAAAACAAGACAATCATCATACACACAGACAGACGGATGCAACATCATAGAGACAGAAATAAACCTTAAGAGATGGTGATTAGAAGCTGTATACCCTTCCATGAGTAGAGAGAAAGAAAGGAGAGAAAGGAATTGACCCTGAGTATGGAGTCTTATCTATGCAGCTTAACAAACAGCAGTACTCTCACAGCTTCCAATAGCCTAATAGATGAGTTCTTATTGAGTCATGAGTTGGACTGGGCTTTCAGTTAGTTCAGCTTCTCTGCCCAGACACAGCAGTAGCCAAACTTGTACTGTACAGGCTCACTTTGTCTTGTAGCCTGTAGGCCTAAGAGTTCAACTGTATTTAAAGACATGATTTACTTTTTACATGTTGATACAGTCATGATTCTATGGTTTGTTTAAGCAAATCAATAACGTCTATTTAAAAAAGTAATCCATTAATTGGCTAAAGGTCCCCGGGACCACCCATACACAAAAATGTATGCGCGCATGACTGTAAGTCGCTTTGGATAAAAGCGTCTGCTAAATGGCTTATTGTTATTATTATAATAATTTTAATGGTAGGTTTATTTGAACAGTGAGAGACAGAATAACAACAAAAAAATCCTGAAAAACGCATGTCAAATTTGTTAAAACTTGATATGCATTTTAATGAGGGAAACAAGTATTTGACCCCTCTGCAAAACATGACTTAGTACTTGGTGGCAAAACCCTTGTTGGCAATCACAGAGGTCAGACGTTTCTTGTAGTTGGCCACCAGGTTTGCACACATCTCAGGAGGGATTTTGTTCCACTCCTCTTTGCAGATCTTCTCCAAGTCATTAAGGTTTCGAGGCTGACGTTTTGCAACTCGAACCTTCAGCTCCCTCCACAGATTTTCTATGGGATTAAGGTGTGGAGACTGGCTAGGCCACTCCAGGACCTTAATGTGCTTCTTCTTGAGCCACTCCTTTGTTGCCTTGGCCGTGTGTTTTGGGTCATTGTCATGCTGGAATACCCATCCACGACCCACATCTCAGGAGGGATTTTGTTCCACTCCTCTTTGCAGATCTTCTCCAAGTCATTAAGGTTTCGAGGCTGACGTTTTGCAACTCGAACCTTCAGCTCCCTCCACAGATTTTCTATGGGATTAAGGTGTGGAGACTGGCTAGGCCACTCCAGGACCTTAATGTGCTTCTTCTTGAGCCACTCCTTTGTTGCCTTGGCCGTGTGTTTTGGGTCATTGTCATGCTGGAATACCCATCCACGACCCATTTTCAATGCCCTGGCTGAGGGAAGGAGGTTCTCACCCAAGATTTGACGGTACATGGCCCGTCCATCGTCCTTTTGATGCGGTGAAGTTGTCCTGTCCCCTTATCAGAAAAACACCCCCAAAGCATAATGTTTCCACCTCCATGTTTGACGGTGGGGATGGTGTTCTTGGGGTCAAAGGCAGCATTCCTCCTCCTCCAAACACGGCGAGTTGAGTTGATGCCAAAGAGCTCGATTTTGGTCTCATCTGACCACAACACTTTCACCCAGTTCTCCTCTGAATCATTCAGATGTTCATTGGCAAACTTCAGACGGGCCTGTATATGTGCTTTCTTGAGCAGGGGGACCTTGCGGGCGCTGCAGGATTTCAGTCCTTCACGGCGTAGTGTGTTACCAATTATTTTCTTGGTGACTATGGTCCCAGCTGCCTTGAGATCATTGACAAGATCCTCCCGTGTAGTTCTGGGCTGATTCCTTCTCATGATCATTGCAACTCCACGAGGTGAGATCTTGCATGGAGCCCCAGGCCGAGGGAGATTGACAGTTCTTTTGTGTTTCTTCCATTTGCGAATAATCGCACCAACTGTTGTCACCTTCTCACCAAGCTGCTTGGCGATGGTCTTGTAGCCCATTCCATCCTTGTGTAGGTCTACAATCTTGTCCCTGACATCCTTGGAGAGCTCTTTGGTCTTGGCCATGGTGGAGAGTTTGGAATCTGATTGATTGCTTCTGTGGACCGGTGTCTTTTATACAGGTAACAAACTGAGATTAGGAGCACTCCCTTTAAGAGTGTGCTCCTAATCTCAGCTCGTTACCTGTATAAAAGACACCTGGGAGCCAGAAATCTTTCTGATTGAGAGGGGGTCAAATACTTATTTCCCTCATTAAAATGCAAATCAATTTATAACATTTTTGACATGCGTTTTTCTGGATTTTGTTGTTGTTATTCTGTCTCTCACAGTTCAAATAAACCTACCATTTTAAATTATAGACTGATAATTTCTTTGTCAGTGGGCAAACGTACAAAATCAGCAGGGGATCAAATACTTTTTTCCCTCACTGTACATCAATGAGAGAGCCAAATATCCTTTCACCTGTTCACTGCATATGCTTATTGGAAGGCTGAGTGTAACACAGGTGGTTCGGTGAGCCACACTCACATGAGGAGTAATCTTGCCTGAGTCCTGAAGACTCATCTTAACTCCTCGAGTGAATGCCTAGGCTTTAGCTCAGTGGGCTAACATGGTTTAGTTTGCGTGCAGGCGACCCGGACTCGATACCAATTAACAAGACCACATCTGATAATGTTGGTAGTTAGGCATGTTGAATTGAAAGGAAATTAGTTCAAATATTTAACAAGCTGTGGTGTTCAGAGAGCATTCTGTGTTTGTTTGTGCAGAGTTCCCTAGCATCCCAGACACGTTCCTGAGCGCGGGGAAGAACGGCGAGGTGGCGGTGCACGCAGACGTCCACCTCCAGACCCCCAACCAAAAGCACGGAGCCGCTCACCAGAATGGTATGAGGCCCCCTTACGCATGAGCGTGGCGCAATGGAAACAGCTAGACTCTGTTAAATAGTTCTGCATTCTTTCTGCCTGGTATCCTAAGGGTTGGCATCCATAATTTTCCAGAGTGAATGGAATCTGAAAAGTAGAACATAATATATTATAAACATGAATAGAAGGATAAGATCTTAAAGATGTAGTTCTGCAAGTGTTAATTAAGATTTGTTTAGCTTCGTCTTTTGGGATTTAAGTCCGGCCCTCTGTTGCTGACCTGTGCACTAATCCTGTCTCATCTGTAGGGCCGACCAAGCCTGCCCAGGGGGTTGTACACAAAGTGAAATCACTACAGCCAGTGTCGTTGAACACCCTTCTACTCATCTATTTGTTCCTGTGAGTATCATCTCATTATGAGTCATAAGGGGGTGTCAAGGCCATCTGACAAGTTTTGTAGCTAATCTAATCATTTCACTTGTCGCCAGGCATGTCAAAACAAGTTAAGTGAACTGGGCGTTTTGTCCTGCCTTGGGTGTTAACTTGGTTGTGGGATTGTGACTGTTTGTGTTGTGTGGGAGATGATTCAACAATGGGAGTTGAATTGGAAATACTTGTTTCTTATTGAAAGCCAACGGGTTCCTGTTGATTCCAGCCCTCATCGGAGTGCATGACGTGTTTGTGTTGTCTTCGCAGAGTTAGTGTCCTTGTCTTGTCTTCGTGTTACATGGCCTTCAAGATTGTGGCTCTTGAGAAGCGGCTGAACTCGTTGAGTTCCGTGGGGGAGTATGCACGCAACGAGTAAGAGCTGCCACTAAACACTCACAACAGCTTTGTCTGAGATAACAGAGCAGCAATGGGAATTAGTTATCAGATTAACAATTGCATTGCAATGAGAATCCAGTCCTAGTAACCCTGGTATACAGTAGATTGTGTTATAACGCATGATAAACCTGGAATTTGACAACACAAACTGTTGGAAATCCCGAAGAATGACTTGGTCAGTCAAGAAACTAATTCTTTATCATGTTATGAATATGTGTATTGTGTAATATGCATGTTTTGATGTAACTTTTCCAAAAATTTCCTGACTTTTCCATAGAAAGGTGTAAACCCACTTCTGTTAAAAATCCATACAATTGAAGTGTTAATTGCTTTAGGTGTTCAATTTAAAGGCTATTTTACAATTCGTAAATGTATTCTAATGACGGGATAGAGTAAAATGGACCTTTTGCATTTGTGGTCTTTCATTTGCATCTTGCCATAGGAATGAGCTGAAACTGAATTCACCTGGATTCACACATGATGGCTAATTCAGAGCATATTTTGTTTCAGAAACGTTGTGCATCACAGATCACAGGACGACTTTAATGCAGAAATCTATGGGGAGCTGTCTACAAACCTGTTCAAGCTAGAAAAGGTTTGTCGTCTTGCCGAAAGACAGTGTCAACATCTGCTCACTGTTTGCTACTCCCAAAAGAAGTTTAATTAAAGTTCACTTTTTGGGAGTAGTTACTAGTCTAGCTTGTCCGTGTTTGCCCAGCTCTTGTGCCATGCTTGAGTGTGTGTGTGTGTAAATACTCTTTCATTGTCACCTCACCACTCTCCATGAAACTGCTCAAACATGCCACACAGCGCCATGGAATTGCTCAAACATGCCACGCAGTCAGCTCTGTTACTGAGCTAACAGCTACTCATTAAGTGGGACAATAGCTCTGCTTTCCCAATTACATATTTTGTATGAACCATTCTCCACTTGGTTACATAATGGGAGCTTGTTGGGGATTGTCAAAAGTGGCCAACGTGAGAGTGTTCTCTGCTCATCAGCCTCTCATGCATGCTATTGTTTTGAGGTGTGTTTTATTAATTCAGTGCATGTTTTAACCTGTCAATAATCCTACCAAACCAGATTCAGAGAAATCTCCGTAAACTACTTGAAGAGACCTGACTGAAGGACCCGTCTGTCGCCTCGCTGGACGGAAGTGGCGCCTTCATAAAACGCTGGTGAAAACACTGCAGATCTGATCGGCAATCTGTTACCAAATAACAGACGGCCACTTTGGAAAATAGACAATTTCTTAATTGTGCAATAGCAGTATCTTCCTTCTCTCTCTACTCAGGACAAAACCTATTATTTTGTATCTGATAGCATGCCAGAGTAATCAAGACATTTCAGCAACTGTAGCTAGTTTGGCCTGAATCCTAACTTGAAACTCATGCGCTTAATAATGCTGAATTCCGCTTATAGGGGCAATCTGCAGTTGCTACATTCATTTTGGACTGAATTAATGATAAGTACCCATTGATTCTTGAAGAATATAACTTATAAATGCTTCATGAGCTTAGTTCAACTGTCGTACCCCATCAGAACCCAAAATATATAGTTTTACTCCAATATTTGTAAACAAAGTAAATGTAAACAAACACTATATGGCCTAAAAACATGGTTAAAACTATAGCTGACATCATGGGTGTCAGTCTTTGCATCCATAGCTTTGTCTATTAATTTGAGTGGTTACATTTCTCCAGCCCCATGTCTCAGCTTTTTACTGAAACTGGGGCGGGAAAACGCTTTATTGTTTCAACTGCTGATTGCTGCTTTAAATCATGCCTTGATGTCAGTGGGAGATTTCTGTGGAAATTTGAGTTAGGTGTTCAGGTTTAAAGGTATAGGACGCAACCCTTAAAGAAGAGAAGCCATAAGCTTTAGCCTATGTAGTACTGTACCTGAGAAACTTTTCAATATTAATGGGATGTTTTCAGGTATGAGTAGGTCCCAAGGACCCACCTATTTCAATGTTTTTCTATTAACATTTCAAAAATGGTCAGTCTTGTAATGCCTACTGTTCATGTGCCCCTTTTGTTACAGGTATGAATTGCCAATAAAATATTTATAGTTCTTGCTTCATTTTTTGTCTCAAACTGTCGTCCAACATTCCTAAATGCTGTTTTCAACCACTCAGTAAATATGCTCAATTTTCTAAATTTTCATGAAGCACTGAATGGTTCACACAATGTATAACTGAAGTGCATGCCATCTAAAAGATGAGTGTGATATAAGTCAATAATAATATGCCATTTAGCAGACGCTTTTATCCAAAGCGACTTAGTCATGTGTGCATAGTACACATACACAGTATGGCTTCTACTGTATCATGGATGTATACATGAAAATAGTAAAAGGGACATGACTCCCTCATGTTGTCTGACAGTGCGGTCCAACACTGGTCCCCTACTTTGAAAAAGATTTTCATTCAGGTAAAGCAGGGCATGAACTTGAGTGCCCCATTCAACCTCATCCAACAGAACAGACTGATCTTTCAGTGCGGTTTACAAGTGTCAAGTGAATTAATGATTTGTGTCCACTTTGAGTGTTCACAATACACAAAGATTACACTGTTAATATATTTGTCATACTTTTCACATCTGAACAACAAATCTGCATTTTATTCTAATGAATGAGGGGGGAAGTTTGCTAGTTGTGGCAGGCACTAGCCTACTATTATAGAGCCTCAATTGATGTCTTGTCAATCATTAAGAACTCACCTATTGGGAGGTATGCTGTAAATATTAAAATAATGAGAACCCCCCCAAATTATGCACAACTAAACTACAGTGAGGGAAAAAAGTATTTGATCCCCTGCTGATTTTGAATGTTTGCCCACTGACAAAGAAATGATCAGTCTACAATTTTAATGGTAGGTTTATTTGAACAGTGAGAGAATAACAACAACAAAAAATCCAGAAAAACGCATGTCAAAAATGTTATAAATTCATTTGCATTTTAATGAGGGAAATAAGTATTTGAACCCCTCTCAATCAGAAAGATTTCTGGCTCCCAGGTGTCTTTTATACAGGTAATGAGCTGAGATTAGGAGCACACTCTTAAAGGGAGACCAAAGAGCTCTCCAAGGATGTCAGGGACAAGATTGTAGACCTACACAAGGCTGGAATGGGCTACAAGACCATCGCCAAGCAGCTTGGTGAGAAGGTGACAACAGTTGGTGCGATTATTCGCAAATGGAAGAAACACAAAATAACTGTCAATCTCCCTCGTCCTGGGGCTCCATGCAAGATCTCACCTCGTGGAGTTGCAATGATCATGAGAACGGTGAGGAATCAGCCCAAAACTACACGGGAGGATCTTGTCAATGATCTCAAGGCAGCTGGGACCATAGTCACCAAGAAAATAATTGGTAACACACTACGCCGTGAAGGACTGAAATCCTGCAGCGCCCGCAAGGTCCCCCTGCTCAAGAAAGCACATATACAGGCCCGTCTGAAGTTTGCCAATGAACATCTGAATGATTCAGAGGAGAACTGGGTGAAAGTGTTGTGGTCAGATGAGACCAAAATCGAGCTCTTTGGCATCAACTCAACTCGCCGTGTTTGGAGGAGGAGGAATGCTGCCTATGACCCCAAGAACACCATCCCCACCGTCAAACATGGAGGTGGAAACATTATGCTTTGGGGGTGTTTTTCTGCTAAGGGGACAGGACAACTTCACCGCATCAAAGGGACGATGGACGGGCCATGTACCGTCAAATCTTGGGTGAGAACCTCCTTCCCTCAGCCAGGGCATTAAAAATGGGTCGTGGATGGGTATTCCAGCATGACAATGACCCAAAACACACGGCCAAGGCAACAAAGGAGTGGCTCAAGAAGAAGCACATTAAGGTCCTGGAGTGGCCTAGCCAGTCTCCACACCTTAATCCCATAGAAAATCTGTGGAGGGAGCTGAAGGTTCGAGTTGCCAAACGTCAGCCTCGAAACCTTAATGACTTGGAGAAGATCTGCAAAGAGGAGTGGAACAAAATCCCTCCTGAGATGTGTGCAAACCTTGTGGCCAACTACAAGAAACGTCTGACCTCTGTGATTGCCAACAAGGGTTTTGCCACCAAGTACTAGGTCATGTTTTGCAGAGGGGTCAAATACTTGTTTCCCTCATTAAAATGCATATCAAGTTTTAAAAAGTTTGACATGCGTTTTTCTGGATTTTTTTGTTGTTATTCTGTCTCTCACTGTTCAAATAAACCTACCATTAAAATGATAGACTGATCATGTCTTTGTCAGTGGGCAAACGTACAAAATCAGCAGGGGATCAAATACTTTTTTCCCTCACTGTATAGAATTTGTCCAAATGTCTATATTTTGAGTATTTACAGTACCAGTCAAAAGTTTGGACACACCTACTCATTCAAGGGTTTTTCTTTATTTTTACTATTTTCTACATTGTAGAATAATAGTGAAGACATCAAAACTATGAAATAACACATATGGAATCATGTAGTAACCAAAAAAGTGTTAAACAAATCAAAATGTATTTTATATTTGAGATTCTTCAAATAGCCACCCTTTGCTTTGATGACAGCTTTGCCCACTCTTGGCATTCTCTCAACCAGCTTCACCTGAAATGCTTTTCCAACAGTCTTGAAGGAGTTGCCACATATGCTGAGCACTTTTTGGCTGCTTTTCCTTCACTCTGCCATCCGACTCATCCCAAACCATCTCAATTGGGTTGAGGTCGGGGGATTGTGGAGGCCAGGTCATCTGATGCAGCACTCCATCACTCTCCTTCTTGGTAAAATAGCCCTTACACAGCCTGGTGGTGTGTTGGGTCATTGTCCTGGTGAAAAACAAATGATAGTCCCACTAAACCCAAACCAGATGGGATGGCGTATGGCTGCAGAATGCTGTTATAGCCATGCTGGTTAAGTGTGCCTTGAAATCTAAATAAATCACAGACAGTGTCACCAGCAAAACACCCCCACACCATAACACCTCCTCCTCCATGCTTTACGGTGGGAAATACACATGCAGAGATCATCCGTTCACCCACACCGCGTCTCACAAAGACACGGCGGTTGGAAGCAAAAATCTCAAATTTGGACTCCAGACCAAAGGACAAATTTCCACCGGTCTAATGTCCATTGCTCGTGTTTCTTGGCCCAAGCAGGTCTCTTCTTATTATTGGTGTCCTTTAGTAGTGATTTCTTTGCAGCAATTCAACTATGAAGGCCTGATTCACAAAGTCCCCTCTGAACAGTTGATGTTGAGATGTGTCTGTCACTTGTGTCTGGCATTTATTTGGGCTGTAATTCTAATGAACTTATCCTCTGCAGCAGAGGTAACTCTGGTTCTTCCATTCCTGTGGCGGTCCTCATGAGAGCCAGTTTCATCATAGCGCTTGATGGTTTTTGCGACTGCACTTGAAGAAACTTTCAAAGTTCTTGAAATGTTCCGTATTGACTGACCTTCATGTCTTAAAGTAATGATGGACTGTCATTTCTCTTTGCTTTTTTGAGCTGTTCTTGCCATAATATGGACTTGGTCTTTGACCAAATAGGGCTATCTTCTGTATACCCCCCTACCTTGTCACAACACAACTGATTGGCTGAAACGCATTAAGAAGGAAAGAAATTTCACAAATTAACTTTTAAGAAGCCACACCTGTTAATTGAAATGAATTCCAGGTGACTACCTCATGAAGCTGGTTGAGAGAATGCCAAGAGTGTGCAAAGCTGTCATCAAGGCAAAAGGTGAATATATAAATATATTTTGATTTGTTTAACACTTTTTTGGTTACTACATGATTCCATGTGCTATTTCATAGTTTTGATGTCTTCACTAGTATTCTACAATGTAAAATATGGTAAAAATAAAGAAAAACCCTGGAATGACTAGGTGTGTCCAAACTTTTGACTGATAGTGTATTTTAAATGTAGTCATATGAAACCATTAGAAGTGGAATACTGTTAGGAAGGCACCCCCTTTACATTTGGCCTGCCTGTCAACCCATGTTAAGGCTGCACATGACGTAACACCCACACTGCAAAGTGCAATGGCGAAATTGAACAGTAACAGCCATCGCTTCTCGGTACCATATTTATAATGTCGTTAACATTAAAGAAAACAGAATCATTCTTCTGCAGAGTCACATCATGCAACATCTGTACATTTAACGCGCGCGGGGCTGCGACTAGAAGGAGTATTCTACTGTCCCTGCAAGCGATGACGGTTTAAAACGCGGGTAAGTTTCATGTAATTGTAATACCGTCCATTTTCAACGCCGAACCATTTTCGACAGCAGACTGGTTTGTGCACCTGCTTTTAAAGGGGCGTGGCGGCTGGCATGCAGGGTACCCACATCATTGAGGGTACCACCTCCAGCTAAAGATGCTGATAGCTTAGCAACTACGACAGGGGAAAGCAGAGGAGAGCAACAACAATGGATTTACCGTTTGTAAGCATCATTCGCAATGTTTGACTATGCACCGAGCATTTATGTGTGATGACGCGACCATCAACAGTTCTGACACGAATGTAGCTCGAGCTACAAGGCGCTATGACAGCTGACTCGAAATGTAAACAAAGGGAGATGGGCCTTTTGCTATCTCTCTCAATGCCTGGCTAGCTGCATTTAAGTTGTCGTTGATAGTGTCAATAACTGTCTTAATTTATGCACAGTGCATGTATTAGTACAAGCAGATTGTAGGACCATGTGGTGGATTGTGTCAGCTGAACCATAATGTTTCAAACTATTAAAAATATATATACTGAACAAAAATATCAACGCAACATGTAAATTGTTGGTCCCATGTTTCATGAGCTGAAATAAAAGATTCCCGAAATTTTCCATATGCACAAAAAGCTTATTTCTCTCAAATGTTGAGCATAAATGTGTTTACATCCCTGTTACTGAGCATTTCTCCTTTGCCAAGATAATCCATCCACCTGACAGGTTTGGCATATCAAGAAGCTGATTAAACAGCATGATCAATACACATATGCACCTTTACACAGATGCACCTTGTGCTGGGGACAATAAAAGGCCACTCAAAAATGTGCTGTTTTGTCACACAACACAATGCCACAGATGTCTCAAGTTTTGAGGGAGTGTGCAATTTGCATGCTGACTGTAGGAATGTCCACCAGAGTTGTTGCCAGATCATTTATGTTCATTTCTCTACCGTAAGCCGCCTCCAACGTCGTTTTAGAGAATTTGGCAGTACGTCCAACCGGCCTCACAACCGCAGACCACGTGTAACCACGCCAGCCCAGGACCGCCACATCCGGCTTCTTCATCAGCGGGATCATCTGAGACCAGCCACCCAGACAGCTGATGAAACTGAGGAGTATTTCTGTCTGTAATAAAGCCCTTTTGTTGGGAAAAACGAATTAGGTTTGGCTGGGCCTGGCTCCCCAGTTTCAAATCCATTACCTTTACAAAAATGTAAAAATAAAACAAATAAAAATAACGATGGTTTTCAAGCGCCCCTGATTTCCTTATATGAACTGTAACTCAGTAAAATCGTTGAAATTGTTGAATGTTGCGTTTATATTTCTGTTCAGTATAATTATTTTCTCTTTTCTAATACAATGACAAGCTTTTTGGAATGCAAAATGATCAGGCTAGATGCCATACCATGCCAATTGTTTATTATGGGCATTGGGCTATAATGCCAGCACCTAAACAAGTAATACATACTGACAAATACATCAGCTCTGCCAAATTGTCTATCTCTCTGACCTGACTGAAGTTGTATCATATTAGTGTCATATCCAGAAAAAGCAGTGGCCTGTCAGTGGACTGTCTGCAGCACCTTCCTCTCAGTCTTTATTAAATAGTATTATCTTTTTGATGACCAATTTACCCCTTTTACCAAAGAGCACCTTCTGTCTATCAAAATCTACTATTGTGTACCTTAGCAGCGCTTCCCTTCCTTCCTTCTTTTAATTGTTTTTGCGACAAGTATTATAGTTTGGTTTCCAAAAGATATTCAGAAGAAGATGGAGACCAGCACTCACTGATAATCCTAGCTTTACCATGTTATAAACACATCAGAAAAATCTGTCATGTTAGTACCTTCATAGAAATCTTTTCAAGTTAATTTGGACTCTGTGACGTTGTTGTTGCCAGGTCTGAGGCGTACTGAGTGAATCATGGCCACGCAAGAACCATCCCCTCCGTCGTCCATGGAGAGCAACAAACCCGGCTTCCCCAAGCAGATCCTGGCCAACAAGCTGGAGGATAAACACCTGTGTAACTGCTGTCAGAACCTGCTGCGGAGGCCCTTCCAAGCCCAGTGTGGACACCGCTTCTGTTCCTACTGCTTCAATAGGACTGTCAGGTGGGAGTTCGAAGAGTGTATCTCAACTGTATACAATCATCTTTATTTTCTCCTTTAGCTGTAATGTGTAAGTGCTGGTCTGGTAAAACCTAAGGAAGAAACTTTAAACTATTGAAATGCACCCCAGGATATGATGCTTGGTGAATATATTACACATTTGACAATATGACACACTGTACTGTTATTTTGTACTGTTTGTTGACATCATATTCCCATTGCAGAGATGGACCTCAGAAATGCAATGCTTGTATCAAAGAGGACATTTTTGAAGAGCCCACGTCGATTCTAAAACAAGGCTGTGTAAGTATCTACAATATCGGTCTTTCATTACAGTGCCACTTTATCCTCTCAAAGAAAAAGTAAGATCAAAATGTACCCTTCAAATAATAAATATACGTCCATGTTATTTGGAGCATGTGTGCTTATCACACACACACACACACACACAAACACATGCACACACACACACACACGAACATTCGGAAAACAGTACAGATTCACTTTAAAGGCAAAAGCCTCTGCAAAATGTTTGTTTGCTCTCACTTCTGAAGGCTTTTCCTGACAACGCAGCTCGAAGAGAGGTCGAAAACCTCTCCGCTGTCTGCATCAACGAAGGCTGCACTTGGAAAGGCAATATTAAAGAATATGAGGTTAGTTGAGTGTTGTTTTAGACTGATTATAAACCCTTTCATCATTCAAACGATGCATTTAGACGGACATAGTTATTGAAAAAAAGAAATTGTGCCACAGATTCTTATAAGCAATGCACCTCAATACTGTATTTGCTTTGCTGTGTTCTTGCTTCACGATCAGTTTGACCGAAGATCCTTGTTTAGACTGTTATGAACGTATACTAGAGCCAAATTAATCCTAACTTTATTTTCTGTCTCTTACAGTTGAGTCACGAGGGGAAGTGTGAGTACATGATCATCCCCTGCCCCTCCTGTAAAGAGCAGATCCGCTTCAACGAACAGGAACGCCACAACGAGCGAGAGTGCCCCGAGAGAACTCTCAACTGCAAGTACTGCAAGGAACCATTCCATTTCAAAAACATCAAGGTGAGAAATAATGCACGCTCTGAGAGAGAACGTCCATCAGTCTGTTTATTTGTGAAATCTCTCAAATGGCTGGTTTACGATCGTATCAAGATTGCAAGGAACAGTAGGGTCAATATTTGTAAGACGCTATACAAAAACACGTCCTTTTTTTAGGCCCACGACGAGATCTGCCCCAAATACCCCATGATCTGTGAAGGCTGTGCCAAGAAGAAAATACCCAGGGAGAAGGTGAGTTCTTACATTTTCAACAAACACAATATAGCCAATTATAGCCAAACTTGTGACTGAATGCGTTTGGAAAATGCATAACAGAAAAGGAAGCACAATATTGAGAGAAAATAATCCATGCTGTTTTAAGAAGGTTGATGTTTGAAATAGCTGTAGAACTTGTCAAATCATTGTGTATTGTTTCTTCTTTGGCTCTATCCCTAGTATGTGGACCACATTAAGTTCTGCAGCAAATTCAGAACTCCATGCAGATTCCATGTTGTTGGGTGTGATATGTCAGTAAGTAGCTTTATGGTTTTAATGCTATGGTTTTAATGAATCCTAATTAAACAAACAAGGTTGTTACTGTGTAAAAACACATTTACCATGTTATTTCTTAGTTAATACCTGGTAATAATAAAGTGCTACTGTTAGAACAGCTCTCCTCTCCCCTCTCTGTGCAGGTGGAGAAGGAGAGGATCCATGACCACGAGAGGGCCTGCGCCTACGAGCACCTCAACCTGCTGCTGCACTACATTATGGACATGAAGGTGAGGGTGAGCATGGATGTAGTGGAGCGGAAATGCCCTTTACACACAGTAAAGCAGTGATATTCAAAGTCGGGGTCGCGGGGGAACTGCAATGGGGTCGGACAATTTTTTTTTGAAAAGTTATTGTATGGGACTAAAAAAAAGGGAACACTAAAATAACACATCCTAGATCTGAATGAATGAAATAATCTTATTAAATACTTTTTTCTTTACATAGTTGAATGTGCTGACAACAAAATCACACAAAAATTATCAATGGAAATCAAATGTATCAACCCATGGAGGTCTGGATTTGGAGTCACCCTCAAAACTAAAGTGGAAAACCACACTATAGGCTGATCCAACTTTGATGTAATGTCCTTAAAACAAGTCAAAATGAGGCTCAGTAGTGTGTGTGGCCTCCACGTGCCTGTATGACCTCCTTACAACGCCTGGGCATGCTCCTGATGAGGTGGCGGATGGTCTCCTGAGGGATCTCCTCCCAGACCTGGACTAAAGCATCCGCCAACTCCTGGACAGTCTGTGGTGCAACGTGGCGTTGGTGGATGGAGCGAGACATGATGTCCCAGATGTGCTCAATTGGATTCAGGTCTGGGGAACGGGCGGGCCAGTCCATAGCATCAATGCCTTCCTCTTGCAGGAACTGCTGACACACTCCAGCCACATGAGGTCTAGCATTGTCTTGCATTAGGAGGAACCCAGGGCCAACCGCACCAGCATATGGTCTCACAAGGGGTCTGAGGATCTCATCTCGGTACCTAATGGCAGTCAGGCTACCTCTGGCGAGCACATGGAGGGCTGTGCGGCCCCCCAAAGAAATGCCACCCCACACCATGACTGACCCACCGCCAAACCGGTCATGCTAGAGGATGTTGCAGGCAGCAGAACGTTCTCCACGGCGTCTCCAGACTCTGTCACGTCTGTCACATGTGCTCAGTGCGAACCTGTTTTCATCTGTGAAGAGCACAGGGCGCCAGTGGCGAATTTGCCAATCTTGGTGATCTCTGGCAAATGCCAAACATCCTGCACGGTGTTGGGCTGTAAGCACAACCCCCACCTGTGGACGTCGGGCCCTCATACCACCCTCATGGAGTCTGTTTCTGACCGTTTGAGCAGACACATGCACATTTGTGGCCTGCTGGAGGTCATTTTGCAGGGCTCTGGCAGTACTCCTCCTGCTCCTCCTTGCACAAAGGCGGAGGTAGCAGTCCTGCTGCTGGGTTGTTGCCCTCCTACGGCCTCCTCCACGTCTCCTGATGTTCTGGCCTGTCTCCTGGTAGCGCCTCCATGCTCTGGACACTACGCTGACAGACACAGCAAACCTTCTTGCCACAGCTCGCATTGATGTGCCATCCTGAATGAGCTGCACTACCTGAGCCACTTGTGTGGGTTGTAGACTCCGTCTCATGCTACCACTAGAGTGAAAGCACCGCCAGCATTCAAAAGTGACCAAAACATCAGCCAGGAAGCATAGGAACTGAGAAGTGGTCACCACCTGCAAAACCAGTCCTTTATTGGGGGTGTCTTGCTAATTGCCTATAATTCCACCTGTTGTCTATTCCATTTGCACAACAGCATGTGAAATTTATTGTCAATCAGTGTTGCTTCCTAAGTGGACAGTTTGATTTCACAGAAGTGTGATTGACTTGGAGTTACATTGTGTTGTTTAAGTGTTCCCTTTATTTTTTTGAGCAGTGTATATAAAAACGTTTTTGAGAAAGATAATTAAAGAAATACAATCATATTTAGTAGATGTATTTATTGGTTTCCTTTTTATTTTGTTAAGAGATGAACATGTAATGAATTGAAGTTTATTTGTTGATGTAAAAATCGAAATGTACCGATTTTATGGTGTTGTAATTAGATTTGGTGTGTGGTGGGGTCGCGAGGAATTCATGTAAAAAAAATGGGGTCCCCAGAAATTCTGGTGGAAAAAGGTTTGACTACCACTGCGCTAAAGGATGGTTGTGTGCATTAGCATTTACTTAGCAGTTACACAAGCATTAGCATTTACATTAGCATTAGCATGACTTGCCTCTGTGTTTACTTTACCCACCTTATTTTCTCCCTCTCCATCCATGAAGGTGAGCATGGAGGGCCTGCAGCCACAAGGCCTGGAGCTGGCTGGATACAAGCTCCTGGAGCTCCACCATTCCCTCAGGGAGCTGGAGGCTCGCATCTCCCAGCTCAGCACTACCTCTACCCGGCCTCCCGTGCAGGGGGCCACCTCCTCTTCTTCCTCCTCGGGCCTCCCCGGGCCTCCCGCCCTGGCTCTTCCCCTGCCTCCACCTCCCGCCCTGGCCCCCACCCTGAGCGTGTCCACCTCCTTCACCCCCCTGCCCAGCTCGGTGGGGGCAGCCCTGGAGCTGCAGCTCCACAGTGAGAAGACAAAGGTGGCGGAGCTGGGACGCAGGTGCACCGATTTGGAGGTGAAGGCGGGGATGTTTGAGAATGTGGTTTGTGTGTTGAACAGAGAGGTGGAGCGCTTTGCCACCACCATGGAGGCCAGTAACAGACAGCACCGCCTAGACCAGGATAAGATTGAGGCCCTGAGCAACAAGGTAGGAAGGCCCTGAAGCATAAATGAAATTCAGTCATTTAATTTATACAGCCCTTTTCCAACATTTAAATTCAATGGCATGACTCACTGGGGTATAAAGCTGGAGGTTCTGAGGTTATTAAATTCATAGAAGCTAACACATATTGGTGTGTGTGTGTCTCAGGTGCGGCAGCTGGAGAGGACGGTGGGGCTGAAGGACCTGACGGTAGCAGAGATGGAGGGCAGGCTGAGGGAGATATCGGCCACCACATTCGACGGCGTCTTCGTCTGGAGGATCTCTGACTTTACCAAGAAGAGACAGGATGCCATCGCTGGCCGAGCTCCTGCCATGTTCTCACCAGGTAAACCAGAACTATTGCAGTCCAAGTTAAGACTGAGACCAAAGGGGCTTCGAGACAGAGTCATGGCCGAAACCAGAACAACCATATCGAGACTATATGGGCCCCGTGTAGCTCAGTTGGTAGAGCATGGCGCTTGCAACGCCAGGGTTGTGGGTTCGATTCCCACGGGGGGCCAGTATGAAAAAATTTAATAAAATGTATGCACTCACTAACTGTAAGTCGCTCTGGATAAGAGCGTCTGCTAAATGACTAAAATGTCAATGTAAATATTGTACCGTAGTTGTGCAAGTCATAATGACGGCACAAAACGTAGGCTATTATGTTTCCATAATAATATTTCAATCACAGTTTTTCAGCCTTTTACACCAGTAAATATGTCTATAAAATACAGTTGAGTCAGATGTTTACATACACCAAATACATTTAAGCTCAGTTTTTCACAATTCCTGACATTTAATCCTAGTTTTACTAGGATTAAATGTCAGGAATTGTGAAAAACCCTGTCTTAGGTCAGTTAGGATCACCACTTTATTTTAAAACTGTGAAATGTCAGAATAATAGTAGAGAGAATGATTTATTTCAGCTTTTATTTATTTCATCACATTCCCAGTGGGTCAGAAGTTTACATACACTCAATTAGTATTTGGTAGCATTGCCTTTAAATTGTTTAACTTGGTTCAAACGTTTCGGGTAGCCTTCCATAAGCTTCCCACAATAAGTTGGGTGAATTTTGGCCCATTCCTCCTGACAGAGCTGGTGTAACTGAGTCAGGTTTGTAGGCCTCCTTGCTCGCACACGCTTTTTCAGTTCTGCCCACACATTTTCTATAGGATTGAGGTCAGGGCTTTGTGATGGCCACTCCAATACCTTGACTTTGTTGTCCTTAAGCCATTTTGCCACAACTTTGGAAGTATGCTTGGGGTCATTGTCCATTTGGAAGACCCATTTGCGACCAAGCTTTAACTTCCTGACTGATGTCTTGAGATGTTGCTTCAATATATCCACATAATTTTCCTTCCTCATGATGCTATCTATTTTGTGAAGTGCACCAGTCCCTCCTGCAGCAAAGCACCCCCACAGCATGATGCTGCCACCCCCGTGCTTCAGGGTTGGGATGGTGTTCTTCAGCTTGTAAGCTACCCCCTTTTTCCTCCAAACATAACGATGGTCATTATGGCCAAACAGTTCTATTTTTGTTTAATCAGATCAGAGGCCATTTCTCCCAAAAGTACGATCTTTGTCCCCATGTGCAGTTGCAAACCGTAGTCTGGCTTTTTTATGGCGGTTTTGGAGCAGTGGCTTCTTCCTTGCTGAGCGGCCTTTCAGGTTATGTCGATATAGGACTTGTTTTACTGTGGATATAGATACTTTTGTACCTGGTTCCTCCAGCATCTTCACAAGGTCCTTTGCTGTTCTGGGATTGATTTGCACTTTTCACATCAAAGTACGTTCATCTCTAGGAGACAGAACGTGTCTCCTTCCTGAGCGGTATGACGGATGCGTGGTCCCATGGTGTTTATACTTGCGTACTATTGTTTGTACAGATGAACGTGGTACCTTCAGGTGTTTGAAAATTGCTCCCAAAGTTGAACCATACTTGTGGAGGTCTACAATTTTTTTTGTTGAGGTCTTGGCTGATTTCTTTTGATTTTCCCATGATGTCAAGCAAAGAGGCACTGAGTTTGAAGGTAGGTCTTGAAATACAGTGGGGGAAAAAAGTATTTAGTCAGCCACCAATTGTGCAAGTTCTCCCACTTAAAAAGATGAGAGAGCCCTGTAATTTTCATCATAGGTACACGTCAACTATGACAGACAAAATGAGAAAAAAAATCCAGAAAATCACATTGTAGGATTTTTAATGAATTTATTTGCAAATTATGGTGGAAAATAAGTATTTGGTCACCTACAAACAAGCAAGATTTCTGGCTCTCACAGACCTGTAACTTCTTCTTTAAGAGGCTCCTCTGTCCTCCACTCGTTACCTGTATTAATGGCACCTGTTTGAACTTGTTATCAGTATAAAAGACACCTGTCCACAACCTCAAACAGTCACACTCCAAACTCCACTATGGCCAAGACCAAAGAGCTGTCAAAGGACACCAGAAACAAAATTGTAGACCTGCACCAGGCTGGGAAGACTGAATCTGCAAAAGGTAAGCAGCTTGGTTTGAAGAAATCAACTGTGGGAGCAATTATTAGGAAATGGAAGACATACAAGACCACTGATAATCTCCCTCGATCTGGGGCTCCACGCAAGATCTCACCCCGTGGGGTCAAAATGATCACAAGAACGGTGAGCAAAAATCCCAGAACCACACGGGGGGACCTAGTGAATGACCTGCAGAGAGCTGGGACCAAAGTAACAAAGCCTACCATCAGTAACACACTACGCCGCCAGGGACTCAAATCCTGCAGTGCAAGACGTGTCCCCCTGCTTAAGCCAGTACATGTCCAGGCCCGTCTGAAGTTTGCTAGAGTGCATTTGGATGATCCAGAAGAGGATTGGGAGAATGTCATATGGTCAGATGAAACCAAAATATAACTTTTTGGTAAAAACTCAACTCGTCGTGTTTGGAGGACAAAGAATGCTGAGTTGCATCCAAAGAACACCATACCTACTGTGAAGCATGGGGGTGGAAACATCATGCTCTGGGGCTGTTTTTCTGCAAAGGGACCAGGACGACTGATCCGTGTAAAGGAAAGAATGAATGGGGCCATGTATCGTGAGATTTTGAGTGAAAACCTACTTCCATCAGCAAGGGCATTGAAGATGAAACGTGGCTGGGTCTTTCAGCATGACAATGATCCCAAACACACCGCCCGGGCAACGAAGGAGTGGCTTCGTAAGAAGCATTTCAAGGTCCTGGAGTGGCCTAGCCAGTCTCCAGATCTCAACCCCATAGAAAATCTTTGGAGGGAGTTGAAAGTCTGTGTTGCCCAGCGACAGCTCCAAAACATCACTGCTCTAGAGGAGATCTGCATGGAGGAATGGGCCAAAGTACTAGCAACAGTGTGTGAAAACCTTGTGAAGACTTACAGAAAACGTTTGACCTGTGTCATTGCCAACAAAGGGTATATAACAAATTATTGAGAAACTTTTGTTATTGACCAAATACATATTTTCCACCATAATTTGCAAATAAATTCATAAAAAATCCTACAATGTTATTTTCTGGATTTTTTTTCTCATTTTGTCTGTCATAGTTGACGTGTACCTATGATGAAAATTACAGGCCTCTCTCATCTTTTTAAGTGGGAGAACTTGCACAATTGGTGGCTGACTAAATACTTTTTTTCCCCACTGTACATCCACAGGTACACCTCCAATTGACTCAAATTATGTCAATTAGCCTATCAGAAGCTTCTAAAGCCATGACATCATTTTCTGGAATTTTCCACTCTGTTTAAAGGCACAGTCAACTTAGTGTATGTAAACTTCTGACCCACTGGAATTGTGATACAGGGAATTATAAGTGAAATAATCTGTCTGTAAACAATTGTTGGAAAATTACTTGTGTCATGCACAAAGTAGATGTCCTAACCGACTTGCCAAAACTATAGTTCGTTAACAAGAAATTTGTGGAGTGGTTGAAAAACAAGTTTTAATTACTCCAACCTAAGTGTATGTAAACCTCCGACTTAAACTGTATGTCTGTTTTTCCCCAACAGCCTTCTACACCAGTAAATACGGCTATAAGATGTGTCTGCGGATCTACCTGAACGGGGACGGGACAGGGCGTGGCAGTCACCTGTCTCTGTTCTTTGTGGTGATGAGGGGACTGAGTGATGCTCTGCTCAAATGGCCCTTCAACCAGAAGGTAAGGACCAGGGGACTCATTTAGAAAATGCATAGAAAATGCGTTAGAAGATCATACATTTTACATTCCACACAAATCATGTATTTTATATATCTTCAAATTGATGTGAAAATGTGCAATACAATTTTGATTTTGCATGATACTTGTGATGTATAAATCAGACATGCTTATGTGGGATTTTTCTCTCTCTCTCTCTCTCTCTCTCTCTCTCTCTCTCTCTCTCCTCTCTCTCTCTCTCTCTCTCTCTCTCTCTCCTCTCTCTCTCCTCTCTCATCCTCTCCTCTTCTCTCTCTCTCTCTCTCTCTCTCCCTCTCTCTCTCCTCTCTCTCTCTCTCTCTCTCTCTCTCTCTCTTTCTCTCTCCTCTCTCTCTCTCTCACCAGGTGACTCTGATGCTGCTGGACCAGAGTAACAGGGAGCACATCATCGATGCCTTCCGGCCCGACGTCACTTCCTCCTCTTTCCAGAGGCCTGTAAGTGAGATGAACATCGCCAGCGGCTGCCCGCTCTTCTGCCCACTCTCCAAGCTCGACGCCAAGAACTCCTACATCCGCGACGACACCATTTTCATCAAGGCCATCGTGGATCTCACAGGCCTCTAGATGCACCCTTTGAAGTGGAAGTGCAAGACAACTGAGCAGCACTGTGGCCATTTCGGCTCCATTTGGGTTCCATTCGGGCCTATTTCAGTCCCCTTCAGTAGTAGGGAGCCTGAAATGCTTGCTACTGTGTGCTGCATGTGGCTCCAGCTTTCCTGGCTCAGGAGGCCCTTGCACTGTTGTAGCTCTACATTTTATATACAATGATTTTACTAATCTCTTAATGCCACAATACTGGTTTCTCATGGTGCTTGAACCCCACTTGGTGTGGTGTGTAGCTTTATTATTTGTATCCATGGAAATAACTCCAGAATATAGTCTCAATATTCAGTTGGACAGAACCTGTGGTATTTAAATGGGGATATGTGGTGATTGAATTGAGTTGGAGGGCATCTTTTTCTCTCTTTGTTTTTCATAAGACTTCATTAGGTCTCAGAGAGAGTGAATTGTAGCCGTTAGAGAATAGTAATAAGAGGGATATGTACCTTTTCCTTGTCAGTGTAGAAAATGCCCCAATGCTTATTGTAGAAGTAGAGCTTATCGTGGCTTTGTGCAGCAGGGTATTCACTTTTTCACTTGTTTCCGATCTCAACCCGAGTAATTTTGATTGTGGATATCGTGAGCTTCTCAATGCCATTGTTGAGTATATTTGCATAGACAAACGTGGAGTTATGTTATGAATAAGAATATGGGCATTTGTTTGCCTTTTTGCGCAAATTGCATGCCGGCTATCTTTTATTGGCCTATTAGTGTTGAAGTGCTCTCTCTTTTCATTGAGCTGCTGGAGGGATCCTTCCTTGTTCGTTGTTACACTTGTTAGTGAGTTAAACCATCTGTGATGGTGGACATTGCCTGCATGTCTTGGATCCAGGCATATACTTTTACATATACTTGTTAGTGTTGCGTTTCTTGTTCCTCTTTAAGGGTTGAGGCTTATGGGATTGGTGGTTCGGTACATCTGTGGAAGATACAGTGGAGTTTTCAGGGTGTTATAAGGCAGCTTGCCAATCAAAGCCTGAGGCATACAACAAATGTATTTCTATCACTGGTAAATACACCAAGCTGGAAGAGCTTTCCCCCCCAGGATATGCTCAGTACAGTAGCTCACATCTCAACACATAGTACTGTGTCCCACCACAGATGTTAATACAGGTTCCATGAACTGAAGGAATGGTGTGTTCCTTGTTTTCTGTTCATATTACAGTGCGGTACATTTGTATGTAGTTTTGCTGCTGTGTCAGATATGTTGCTGATGTAAAACAAATGTGTGGCAATCAATGCGAAATTTAGCACATAAAGTTGAAGGTGTTAAAGTGGAAGGATAAAGAGAGATGTAGCCACGATGAAGTGAAACAAGTGAATGTGATGGTATACTTTGCCATTGGACCATAGTGATCATCGTTAATTGATGATGATGATTTATGTAACTCTAGATAAATTCCATTAACCTGTAAGTGACAGTGAAACCTCTTAGCCTAGGTGGTGTTATTATGATTCATGAAGCCCCACAAATGATGCTGACCAAAATGCTAAATCTGAGGAAATCCTTTAGATCCAAAATATATCTGTAGGTTCTATGCATGTCCATCAGGGGGTGCTGTTTTACTTGGTACGCCTGTGTGCGTCCCAAATAGTCTAACCCCTCTGGACTTGTGTCAGGGTTTTCACCTGCCTGTTTTGAAACCAGTCTTGACCTGTATTGAAACCTCTCTGTGCATGGGAGGGTTCAATTCATATTCAGTATCGCAGTTCGTGATTGGCTTACCTCGTAGACCAATGGCGAATGCATTTATTTGCATTTGTTTGGAGGAGTATAAATAAAGATACTAGAGTTATTATTATGTCATATCTCGCACAGCTTCTGTTCAACACAAGCAGATGCCTATTCATAAGAATTTATAAATATAATATCATACTGTTGAACAATTCAATATATTGATGTTACTATACGCATATTGTTATTAATAAATATAGTATAGTTGAATATATTATTAATGATATATCTAATACCTACTTTTTGTTTGTCGAGATGGTTTAAGACAGGTCTGGAAACCCACTTAAATTAACCCAAATACATCAAAAGCTGTGCCACATAATATCAACCATGGCACCCCATTCTTCTGGGTTCACTGAGGGTTAAAAACCCAAATATGAAGTGGTTGTGTTTACATTCATCAAAATTACCCTTTAAAGGTTCCCACAGTAATTCTGTGTCATATAACTGTGCTTCTCAACCTTTTCTGTACCACTGGGACCGGAAAAAAGATGGTCCCTCTTGTACCAAGAACCGGCAAGCTGCTATGGTCCTTCCTCCTCGAAGGACTCCTTAGGCCTATATCAAAACGGCACTTGATATCTGGCTACATTATTGTCAGCTAACCATCTGAGGGACTGGTCAGCAGCATCCCTGGGACCGGTGCCGGTCCACAGACCAGACGTTGAGGACCACTGATATAATTTTTCTTCTGAGAAAGGGTGCTTTGGTTGTTATTATGGGTAGTATTTGCGCTCTGAACATCATATTTGTGCAGTCAGTGAATATGGTGTTGTTTGGTCCTTTGATGGTTATAGACAGGGTTTGGTTCTGCAGGAGTTGATTCTGACCATGTTCATTATAGGGAGAATCCCTCCTGCAGAGGTAGCTTTTTAGCATCAAACTGGATAAGTTTTTCAGTAAGTATACTGCACACATCGAGTGGAATTCATATATAATCTTTCCTTTACATAAATACTTATTCTTGTGTTGTGCCAAAATGTTATATTACCTCCATATTATTGCAAAAGCTGTGTTATACGTTGTACTTGTATTCTATGCTAAACAATTGTGCCAAATATGCTTAGAGAAAAAATTGATATTATGTACATATATGAAGGTTTATGGTTTGTATTTTTGTTTTATTCCCAATGTAATGCATGGGTCACTTTTGGAACCACCTAGACTGATGGAGACGTCAATTTAGTACGTTCAGCAAAATATCTCCTTATAATACAATAATATACCTTTCTTTAGGTCTCTGAATGTAAAGCTTTAATGCAGTGGTCCTTTACTGTTTCTGTGAGAGAAAAACAGTTCAGCAGTTCCATTTTAACAGTTGTTGATGCAGTTGAATTGAATTAACTTTAATTGTGCATTTTGTATTATTTAAATGTCAAACAGGGTACTACTTTGTTCTGTGATTTGTATACTGTGAAGTCAGAGCTATATACATTCTGATGTGTTCATCATTTATGTTCTCTATATGCTATAAAGGCTCTTACAGGACATGTAGTATGCAATACATTTATCATTGGATTCCTGGGTATTGTTTGTCTTATACCAAGCCTCTGTCTGTGTCCCAAATGGCACCCTATTCCCTATATTGTGCTCTACTTTTGACCAGGACCCATGGAATAGGGTGCACATTTGGGACACTGCCTCTGACTTCCATCTCTTTCCTGCTGGCTAGAGGGAGGTAGTCATTGGTTTTGCTGTTCCTGTATTCAACCGGAAGAGGGTGCTGTTCACCATTGTTTTACGCTGGTCACCATCACTACAGTTACCATGTATGATCTTCAAACAGGGATTATTCCATTCCTTTTAAGGAGATTTGGCCATCTGCCAGAGATAAAGATCTAATACAGATTCTGCTTTCTGTGAATCTCGGATTTACTCTCTGAGGCAAATACCCCCCTGACCGTATTCTGCACCTTTTAAGGAACAAGTAATTGGCAAAGCAACTGAACCATGGACATATTTATGCAACAGGCTCCTCATCGAGAAGAATAAAAAGACATATAGCAAATGGAAATAATACATTATTCTATGTGAAGTAGATTTTATGATGTGATTTTGCTCCTTTAATAGTTTCTATGTGTCTTCCAAAGGCATGATTGAGCCCTAGACTGATACCCACAATCCTTCTGTCTAGGATTCCATACTTTTATGTTTTTTTAGATGTTTTGTGTGTACAAGAAATACCCAAGGACCCAAGTTTCATCAATCCACTGGCAAGTCTGCTTGGCAAACTTGTACTTTTGTCATGCTATAATACAAAAAATTCAACTTGTACTTTTGGCACGCTACAATACAAAAAATTCAACTGCACAATTGTAGTCAAACAAATTATTTCCCTGACAGTGTTGGGACAATGATCAAAAACCCACAAATGACACAATACAATATCCACGTCACACAAATTCCTTTGAAACAAATTCCTTCCCAGACAGTCTTACAGCGTCGGGACTCTAACTGGAAGTTACACTCTGACATTTCCCAGAGAGTGGTACTCTGGCATAGTAGTGGTTGGGTGAGTCATGATTCATGATGATACAGTGGAACTGAATTGGCAGTGCCAAGGCTTTCCTACGGGAAGTGGTGGGAAGGGAAGAGGTCTGGCCCACACAGCTGTTGAGGCTCCTGTAGCTAGGGTTACCAACCCTCCCCATTGGGCCTGGACCGGAAGCTCCTGGAGGATGGAGGAATCAGCCTTTGTCTCCCAGGGAGCAGTAAAGTTATTACATGTCTAATTGAAATGAATGACTTAGTGTTAAAACTGTCGAAGGAGTTTTACAATCTCCCAGAATGAGTTCGTTCTGACTAGGCAAGCGACTTGGCTGCAGTCGTCACTAGCGGGATATGCTAGAAAGTATGACTGTCTATTAAGCACAAATGTGGTGTTCATGGTCTTGTTAATCAATTCTAACAATGTTCAATAGTGCCACTTCTGTACATTATAGCATGGTCTGTCTGTTTGGCCAGAACCAAAACCCCTGGATAGGAGGAGAGTCCTCTGACATGGTGTTGATGGGTAGGATAACACAGACCTAATACAGTGTTGCCAGTCTGCCCTCCAAAAATAGATGAAAGGTTGCTGATGATAATTGATTAACTCTGGAAGAGATGTGGATGGACAGGACAATTAACTCTGACCTGGCATCTGTCTGTAGTGGGCTTACAGCATCAACCAGTTCGTGAAGTGACAATTAGACATACAGTATGTGGCTCAATGCTAATGATAATAAGC